CGCCGGCACCTCTGCCTTCAAGTTGCGCCGAGGGCGCTTTTAACCCGAGTGATGTCACGACGTTGCTCTTGCCGTCTCTTTCGGGCGCGCTTCAGCTGTGAAGTACGTAAACCTAAGCCCGAGATCGCCAAGATCCTTGTTACGGCCCCCAAGGTCCCAGGCCGGGGTTGAGATGCCATCCACGGCCAGGCTCACATCGTGGGCTCCCGACCTGGGGGTTCGCCCAGACTTCATTGCTTGACTCACCAAGAAGAAGGGACGCAATCCCCTGAAAGCCGCAAGCTGCACAAGCTGAAAACAATGGAAAGAGGGTACGCCAGGCCGCCAGGCATCCCAAAAGTCCTTGTTACCTTCTTTTGCCCGTCAAACCAAGCATCCGAACATGCCACCCTGGGCATAAGCTCGCAAGGGGCGTGTAGGCCCCGTCAAGGCCCAGGCAAGCTGATCAGCACTGAGCCTGCCACCAGGCGAAACGTGTAGGGTTTTTGGGGTTGGGCACATCAACCCGTGGCATGAAATGTGCTGTTCTACACCAAGGGCTTGGAGCATCCGGATCCAGTCTAGGGGCTGACGAGTTCTGAGTTTCAGGGCTTGGTCTCTGAAATGCTAAGGTGCGGACCTGAAGCAATGGGCGCGCCACCCACAATTTCGTTGCAGCTAGATGACCTGCCAGTGTCTCTTGGGGCATCAGCAGACATCTAAAGGAAACTTGCTCTCTACTTACAACTTACCCTCCACCACAAACCCCAAACCTGCAACCACAAGCAACTTGTTCCCCAAACTGTTTTGGAACCAAAGCTGACCCCAAAACCTCGGATCCTACCACCCCCACCCCCAACCTGCTTGGGTTTCGAGTTTCGGGTTCGGGCTTAGGGTTTAGGGTTTGGTGGTGTGTGGTTTAGGGTTTAAGGGTCTAGAATTTTAAGTTTAGGACTCCTGCCCCAAGCAAAATTCCTAAAGCGATCATCTCAGCCGCAAGCGAGTGGAACTCAACTTCCACCTGCAACGGCAGGGCTGAGGCGGCTTGGCTTATCGGAGTTTTGGGATTCGGGCTTCGGTTTGAGGAGTTTGGGGGTTAGGGCTTCGGGTTTTTGGGAGCTTTTGGGGGAAGGGGGGAGGGGTGTCGGGCTTCAGGGTTCTGTTGGGTTCCTAAACCCTCAACCCTCAACCCTAAACCCTAAACCCTAAACCCTAAACCCTCCTCCTTAACAAAGGCGCCAGGACCGGGCCCCAGCTTCAGGGCTACTCCGGCCTTGTTGGGATGCTCGAAGCCGAAGTGCTTCCAAACGCCCCTAAAAACCCCCCCCAACTCCCCGGCAAACTTTCCGCAAAGTCCCCCCCAAACTCCCCCCCAAACTCACTGCGAGCCCCGAGATCCCGACGACCGACCAGAAACCTGCCAGAGGCCTCAGATGGCGAGGCGAGGGCCATGGGCGCTAGGCCCTAAACCCTGAACACCTTCACCCTAAACCTGCACTCTTCTTTGAGTGTGGTGAAGATGAGTGAAGGTTGAGAGAGCCACGATTGGTCTTGACATGGAGGCAAGGAAGCTGGCTGCGAGGCTTTAGATCCCTGATTTTGCATCTGGGGGTTTCGGATTTAGGGCTGTTCAAGACTTGGGTTTGGGGTGCTTAGGGTTCGTGGGCCGGGGGGACGAAGGGCAAGAGGGTGAAGACCTGTCGGTCGCTTGTTGAACTGAGGAAGCCTTGCACACACCTTTCAAAATAAGATTTTCCTGTGCGAGGCTCCGCAAGAGAGCTCCAAGGGTTGAGGCTTCAAGAAGATCCCAGGTGCGTAAGAACTGCACCTTGCTAGGTCGTGCAGGGGGCCCTCGAAAATCTTGTCGGAGAAGCTATCCCCTCGATTCCTAGGCGCAACCCTGGACCCTAAACCTGAAAAATTGACGATTGCCTTTGCACAAAGAACTCCGGGTTTGCAGGGCTCACCTCCTTTCACTTGTCCTGAGCGGGAATGTCGTAAAGTCAACTCCCTACTTGAAACACAACAAGATCTGAACCCTGAACCCCCAAACCCCCCCCGGCTCATCTGAAGCTGCACAGCACCACAGAGTCCCGAGCTCTGCGTTCACGATGCGCCACTGGCGGTCTGCAGCCTTACTCGGACGAAAAGGTTTGTGGAGTTTAGGGTTTGGACCTGAAACCCCGAAACCTTGAACCCCAAGCCCTAAGAACCCAGACCCGCAAGCCTGCCAAAGAGGAGAATTAGGCCGAGGCCTGATGTAGAGAGCGACAAGTAGTGGCTTCATCACAAGAAGAAACCCCTCCCTGGGTTATAGTGTTCAGGGTCTAGATAGTTTCCTGGCTTTCTACTAGAAGCCCCAAACGAGAAACTTGGGGCATGAGGACAAGATCCGAAAGACTCTCCCTACAGATTCTCCTGTAGCCACCGTTGTTGATTTGTGCGTTCACACACTGTCTGAGCTGGAGGCAACCTGGCCAAGAGCCGCCCGTAAGCCATGAAACAGGCCTCTTGGAATTCGAGCGTTTAGGGGTTTAGGGCTCAGGTTTAGCTGGTAGCCTGAGAGTTGACCAGGGTTTGGGGTCGAATGGTCAGGCAACGCTTGCTTTTCGTCGGCCTCGGCCTCGTGGCCCGATGCTTGGGGCCTTTTTGCACTCGCCCCGAAAGGTGATGGTTGAAGCACGCTTTGCAAGAAGCATCACAGAAAACTCTCCTGGTTCTTCGGGTGTCATTTGGGATGCTCCCCCTTACACTAACCGTCCTTCATAGGGATCATAATCGGGGGTACCATAATCTCTAAAAAGGACCGATAGTATAAGAGGCAAGGCCTTGACATCGCCGGCTCCCATCGCTAGCTCACGGACTCACGGATGCCGAAGAAACCCCGAAATCCCTAGAAAGCCCTAAACTGGTTCATAGTTGGGATAGTAATAAAAATGTAGAATTTTATTCTTATTGAGTCTAAGTACCCTTAAAAATGTAAAATGTTATCCCACTATGACATAGCAAACCCCTAGATCGCTGGGACTGCCTGTCAGGGCCGTGCTCGTCTCGACAAGAGCTCACTACCCTGAACCCTGACCCTAAACCTTACAGGTTTGGAGTTAACTATAACTCTATAACAATTGGGGGCTTCGGGCTTGGGGCTGTTACAGGTGCTTCTGGGATCGCAGTAGTGGGCTCCCACGAGAATATGGTGACCTCTCAGCCCTAAACGTTAAAACTGAAACCGAACTTTGAACCCCAAAAACTGGGAGGCCCTATAAATGGCAAATCCGAAGCCCGAAAAACTAAGCCCTGTGAAGGCTCATTCACTTCCAAACCCCCAAACCCTAGACCTTCTAAACCTTAACGCCTCAACCCTAAACCCAAAACCCTAAACCCTTAAACCCTTAAACCCTTAAACCCTTAAACCCTTAAACCCTACACCCTCGACCCTAGCCCTTTGAAAGGCAGCCTGTTGGTGCTGAGGCGAGCGCAGGTCAAGCCCAGGAGCACGGAGTGGACCATTTCCAGGCCATGTCCCCACAAAGCTCCGACGTGCACACGAATTCCGTGGCGAGCTTTGCACCACCCAAATGCAACCCAGACCAGAAGCTGCAACCCACCAGTACCTCGGTGCAAGTCGGTTCAACCCTGAAACCCTGAAACCCTGAAACCCTGGAACCCTGAAACCCTGAAACCCTGAAACCCCGAAACCCCTGAAACCCGGAGGCCCTGAAACCCTAAACCCTGGTATTTTGCGCGGTTGCTGCCCCGTGCCTTCTCTGACCAAGGCCTTCTAGTCCAGACAACAACTCATCCAACCCAACCCATCCCCCTTGAGCCGAATACCGAGATCCCCGACCATCAGAGCACAGCGTGATGCAGGGCTTAGGGCTGTTTGGGGTTTAGGCTTGGGGTTTAAGGTTTAGGGTTTAGGGTTTGGGGTTTGGGGTTTAGGGTTTAGGGTTTAGGGTTTAAGGTTTAGGGTTTAGGGTTTAGGGTTTAGGGTTTAGGGTTTAGGGTTTAGGGTTTCGGGTTTAGGGTTTAGGGTTTAGGGTTTAGCGTTGGAAGCAGGACCACGAACCTTAACTATCGCTCACCTAAATACCCTAAACCCTACACCCCAAACCCTAAACCCCAAACCTTAAACCCTAAACCCGAAACCCCCAACCCTAGATCCTAAACCCTAAACCCTAAAGCCTACGTAGCCAGACCCCACGATGCCCAAAACGCTCCTACCCGGGGGGCCTCTTTGGGGGGGGGTTCAAAGTTTTGCGAGAGAAGGGTCCTTGCATACCCGTCATGTACCCTAGGGGGTCGAAGGGTATTCTACCGTCAAACACCCCTGAAGGCCTAAACCCTAAACCCTACACCCTAAGCATGAAGACCTACGAAACCTCCTGCGTCGCCTCCGGCATTCTGCTTTTGCGGCTCTCCCCCACACATTGTTCGCCTGCCCCTCCGGGGTGGCTGGTTTTAGGGAGGGCTCCATTAAGAATCTACTGTAGGGGCCTTAATAATTAGAACAGGGCTTTTGGAGGGTATTATAGTGTATTTGTAAAGGGACCATAAGGAAATGTTATCAGCAATTCTTCCGACCCCTGTACTACTGCCATGGCTGTGTTGTCGTTGCACTGTGACTACTCACACCACTGTCCTAGCTAGAATGCTGAGCATGTTTGCGAGTTGCTCTGGGCTAGGGGGGGCTTAGCCCCCCCCCGGCCTGCAACCTTCAGAAGCAGCTGCTCGGGCTTCGCTGCTTGGTACAACAAAAAATTTCGCCACTTCGGCAACTTCGGGCTCCGCTAACGCCGCACTTCAGAGAGTGTCTGGTGTAGAGTGCTTAGGGCTGAAAGTGTGTCAGAGACCCGATCCGCCCTTGGCCAATTTCTACACTTCAGCAGGGCTCCATCTTAAACCTTTCGCATCTCACTGTCTCCTACCTGCGAATTCCAGAGGCGCGTAGGATGCCACGTGCGCCCCATATGGGTTTGCTTCTTCTCTCCGAAGAAGGACCCCGAATTCAGAGCAGCCTTTCACGAGACCTGAGAGCACGTGTTCTCTGGGGAGATGGGAACCGACGTCTCTTCGAGTCGCACCAGAAGGCTGTTGAAGCCGTCCTCAACAAACCGCTTGCACACGACCAGCGCATCCTTGATGTGGGTGCGAAGGATCTTGTCGATCTGATCGAAGCTGCCCATCTCCTGCAGACATCTTTCTGCCCCTGGACCTTCAACCCCCCCAAGCCCCAGCCTGAAAGACCCTGAACCCCAAACCCCCCAAAAAAATGCAAGAGAAACTTTCCCTCAGGAGTTGGTCACCCTGAACGGTCAGCCCCAACCCGAGTTCAAATGCGACACGAGCTGAATCTCAAGGCAACGGATGAAACTCCGAGCCTTCGCCTCATTGGGCCCCTGCAAAAACAGGCTGTCTGGGCCTTTCCCAATCGTGAGCCTCACTGGGCCTCACGCGCCGAAGGCCCTTGCCGCGGCCGAACCTCTTGAAATCAGCGTCTGAAGACTATCAATTCATCCGACAAACCCTAGCGTCAGTGGGTCGTGGTCGACAAGCGACCCGCGCGCACGACGCACCCCAAACAAGCCCCGAAGCCGCCCTCCCCGCCCTGCTGGACCCGGAATTTACGCACCGCACTGGGCCCTGCAGAGGCCGCCCTCCAGGCCCCTGGGTGCGTCTGCGCACCATTTCCACCAGTTCTTTGTTGTTTAAAGTCAGACCGAATCACAAAAACGTCCTAAACAACCCAGACAACACCAAAATGAACGTCTCTCTCCTTCATCACGAGGGACTTGATGGTGTCCCGGTCATCTGCCTGCGTGGCATCCGCATCTGCCAGGGACAAGGTCGCGAGCCGCTTGCCTCGGGACGCTCGGGGGCTTGTAGGGTTTAGGGTTTGGGGTTTAGGGTTTGGGGTTTAGGGTTTAGGGTTTTGGGGGTTTTGGGGGTTTTGGGTTTTTTGGGAGTTTTGGGGGTTTTGGGTTCGGGGCTTGCGGTTTGGGGAACAGCAGGTTTCGTGCTCTTGTTCAAAGGGGATCTCTAAATTTTCTAAGGGTTTTGAGAGCATCTTCTGACAGAGCGTTCGGGCTCCGGCACCTTGGATAAGGGACCCCGAAACATAGACCTGGTAGGAGTCCCTTGCTAGGAGTCCCCTCTAGTAAGGGCCCCACTAATGTACCCCGAATGTCGGAAACCCCCGCATCCTTCATGCCCTCCGCTGGCCACCAAGTTGCCAATGTTGATGGCCACTTCAGTAGTGGCCTGCCCGAAGTTCACGACCCCGGTGTTCGTCAGGAACCTTCTATCACATCTTAGGGCGCAGGATCTAGGCTTGGGGGGTAGGGTTTAGGGTTCAGGGTCTCGGGTTCAGGGTTTAGGGGTTTAGGGTTTAGGGTGTAGGGTCGCGGGTTGAGGGTTTAGGGTTTAGGGTTTAGGGTTTAGGGTTCAGGGTTCAGGGTTCAGGGTTTAGGGTTTAGGGTTTAGGGTTTAGGGTGTAGGGTGTAGGGTTTAGGGTTGAGAGCCAACGAGGCGCTGCAGCCCTTGGAAGTCCTCGCGCTTCTTCTCCAGGCTCATCGTCTGGAGCAGCTCGAAAAGACACCAGGACCTCGTCAGAGGCAGCGCCCGCTCATCGAGGATCATACCTTGGGGACGGAATGGGGGGTTTAGGGTTTAGGGTTTAGGGTTTAGAGTTTAGGGTTTAGGTTTTAGGGTTTAGGGTTTAGGGTTTAGGGTTTAGGGTTTAGGGTTTAGGGTTTAGGGTTTAGGGTTTAGGGTTTAGGGTTTAGGGTTTAGGGTTTAGGGTGAACGGGGAGATTGGGGTCATCTACCCTGACGCTTCTGTAAGTTCCGATTAAGGTGGTATGAACCATAAAGCCTTTTAAGGTTCATAAGTAGTCCCCAAGGAACAGGTTCCCTGGACGGAGGGGCTGTGTAGTGCCAGGTAGAAGGAGGACTCTTGATGGCTCGTCCCCAGCTCCTCTAAGATCCTAGGTTGGTTTTAGACGACGACAATTAGGGTTTAGGGTTTAGGGTTTAGGGTCTAAGATTTAGGGTTTAGGGTTTAGAGTTTAGGGTTTACGGTCCAGGGATATGCATGGAATTCTATATGAGGCCCAAGAATTTGGAAATCTGTTCTACGTCAAGCCCAGTGTCTGATACTGGTTGTTGCTGAAGGCACATATCCAGTAGGAGACGTCTTGCCAGGACATCCCGTCCTTTCCGGAAACGGCGTTCTCTGCATGCCGCCTCAAGGCGTCGCACGTGTACTTGAACCTGGTACCCCAGTAGTGAGACACGAACCAGGCGACGCGAGACGGGCCAAGAAGCTCTGCCAAGGACAGTTTCTCGTGGCGAGTGAGAGGTTGCACTATGTTGGAATCGATGTAGTACAGGTTCCTGTCACGGATGTACATTTCGAACTCGCTCATGAGCTGGAAAATCTGGTAGATGGTCAGGGCACGGTCGGGCCCTTTTGGGCATGCCTTGGGTTGCGGATTCTGCTCTCTCACCTCAGGGGCAAGACCGGGGGGGCACTTCGGCATTTTGGGGCGCTCCGGCGTCTGGCCACGCTAGTACATTCACTTTCCCCCTCTAAATCACAAACTAAACAAATCAATATAGTGGCTATTACAGATAGGTTCATGAAAACCAGCACTATTGCAAAGATACGAAAACCATCGAAATAGAACCCTTCATAAAACTCCATGTTTTACACCAGATGATACAAGGCTTGATTAGAATAGTTCAACTAATTGTACTATGTTGCTTCAATATATTTCTGTTGGCGGGGAGGCGAGTGCAATACAGCCGGGAACACAATTAGTTGTATGGGTTGCATTGACTGCATATTTGTTCAAAATAGCGAAACTAATGTGATTAACAGCATTACGTAAGCGGTTCTCCTCCGAGTCATTCACGGAAGATCTAACATGTAGCCAGCGCATATAGCCTTGAATAAATATTTGATGCCTCCATTATGAATACGTTGTGCAGCGCTGAGGTATATCAACTAGATGAAAGTGGTACGTGGCAAATGGATGAAAGTGGTACGTGGCAAATGGTAGCATCTCTTTCTTTGCATGCAATAGAGCCGGCAACAGGCTTAATTGCCTTCTTTCCAGACGCACTCTTGTGTCTGTGAGAGACATTAGCCAAAACATGCAACTGGGTAGGGTTTAGGGTTTAGGGTCTAGGGTCTAGGGTCTAGGGTCTAGGGTTTAGGGTTTAGGGTTGAGGGTTTAGGGTGGCTACTTTGATGGGTACCCGAAAGGGTCCTTGCGCCGGAAGTGCTTCACGCTATCCGTGATGGGGGGCAGCCGGCGCAGGAAGTACTTCACGATCCTGCCAGACTCTTGAAGGCTTCGGGTTTAGGGTTTAGGGTTTAGGGTCTAGGGTTTAGAGTTTAGGGTTTAGGGTTTAGAGTTTAGGGGGGTAGGATCTCAGAGTTTGTAGAATCTTCGCTGCGCCCCGAGAGAGGGGCGTCCTTGCCAGAGGGAAGGTGAAAAAGATGCCCAGAAGTGCTGTGGCGACGCCACCAGAGTAATTGAAGGGAATCGTGTACCTCAGCAGAAGGGGCATTTCGGGGACAATCCCCCAAGCCCTGAGGCGGCAATCCCGGCCTAGCCCAGCCTCCATGCGCAAAACCCCAAACTCCCTACACCCTCAACCCCAAACCCCAAACCCCAAAACCCCAAACCCAAACCCTTAATCCCAAACTCCAAACCCTTAACCCTAAACCCTGAAACCCCAAACTCCAAACCCTTCACCCTAAACCCTAAAACCCCAGACCCCAAGCCCCAAAACATCCACAAACAACTCCAAGGGCTGGCGACTCGAGGCTTGCAATCACAAGCAGAGGTGGCGGTATGAGCACCAGGAAGGGGACCACCTCAGCTTTCAGAGAGTTTAGGGTTTAGGGTTTAGGATTTGGGCTTTCAGGGTTTGGGGTTTAGGGTTTAGGCTTAGGTTTGGTGTTTGGGGTTGGGGGGGGTTTGGGGTTTTGGGGTTTTTTGGGGGATGTGAAGCTTGCCGTGGGCTTCTGAATGCAGGATATTCAGGCTTAGGCTTCGAGCTTTAGGGTCTCGGGTTGAGGGGTTCGTGCAGAGGCGCAAGCTTCTTAAATCAGCTCAGGAGCCAGTTGAAAACAGCTGACAGCCTGCTTCAACCCTTAATTGATTGCAGAACCAACCCGCAAACCACTCTATCATATGTAATCTACCTGTGAATGACTTTGTGGGCAAGGCCATATAAAGAGCGGGCAAGGTCATACACAGAGCGGGCAAGGCCATGTCAAGAGTGGGCAAGGTCGTATCAGATTGGGCAAAGCCTTAAAAACATATATATATATATATATATATATATTCATAACAACAATAATTGTTATTCTTATTACTATTATATAGCAAAATGTTCATAATGAAAAAATTGGGCCAAGGTCAATGTGGAACTCTTCAATGTCTTCAATGGTATGGGATTCTCTGAATTGGCGGGTACATTTCGGGTGCCTGAGAAGCTGCGAAAACTAGTGAACCCTAGACCCTAGACCCTAAACCCTAAACATAAAATCCCTTAGCAAGAACGCCTGGCCAGAGATGCCAGGGTGCCAACACCACTGGGAGCCGCGGGAGCGCGTCACTATGGACCTCACTCCGCATTGGGGTTTAGGGTTTAGGGTCTAGGGCTTAGGGTTTAGGGTTTAGAGTTTAGGGTTTAGGGTTTATATAGGGTTTAGGGTTTAGGGTTTAGGGTTTAGGGTTTAGGGTTTAGGGTTTAGGGTTTAGGGTTTAGGGTTTAGGGTTTAGGGTTTAGGGTTTAGGGTTTAGGGTTTAGGGTTTAGGGTTTAGGGTTCGTCTTCCTGAATTAAGGTTGTGTCCCCGTTATACGAACCGTCCTTACTAGGGATTATAGTACCCCCCGATTATAGTCCCTATGAAGGACTGTTAGAATAGGGGGGGAACGTCCCAAGTTGTATCTTTTTTTCGTGATTTAAGGCAGGCGCTTAGGTTCGGGGGGTTGAAGTTTGCAGGCCTCGTGGGATTTCGGAGTTGTTTTGGGGTCCCGGTATCGCCACAGCAACCCAAGAGAAAGGCAAACTGAATTGGGGAACCTACCTAAACCCCTAACATCCTAAATGGCGCGAAGTCCGAGATGCCATGGATCGGGCGAGTCTCAACACAAAGTAGCCCCGGGACGTGTCAGCGCTCTCCACAGGAACACCTTTGCCTGAGGTCAGGGGCTGGGTGGGCTTAGGCTTCGGTTGGCTTCTCGTTGTTGAGGGAATCGGGGCCTCCATTTCTCGCTTGCAGGGCAATATCGGTTGCTGGCTTTCGTGCATTCTTCGGGGAAGCCCCACAAAATAAACGACTAACTAGACAGAACCCCGCCATTAGATCAACCCCTACAGTAAACCCCCAAAACCCCCAAGACCCAAAACCCCTAAACCCTAAACCCTCAACCCTAAACCCATGAGACGGTGCTGCAACCCAAGGACTGTCGAGCAGTTCCAGGCGGTGGGGGCCAATGCGCCGCGCCCGGTAGAGGTGTCCCGCGGCGGGCCTCGCAGCTTTCAAGGATTCAGGGTTTAGGGTTTAGGGTTTAGGGTTTAGGGTTTAGGGTTTAGGGTTTAGGGTCCCTGAAGATTCCCCAAAAGGTTTTTTCGGAAGGATCACTGAAGGGTCTTCCTGAAGGGTTTCTGAAGGGTCCCTGAAGGGTCCCGCACCTTTGGGGCTTAAAAGGGTTTGGAGATTCAGAACGCTGCTTGGGATGTGCGACACGCAACAGCGCCCAAAAAACAATGGAAAAACCAGAATGCCTCCGGTCGAGGAGGTAGTGTCCTGCGCGGAGCCGCTGGGATGGGCTTAGGGCTTGGGGCTCAGCATTGAGCTGTCGGGTATGACAGGGACTACGGAGGGTTGCATAGCGTAGTAGGATCCCTATAACCCTATAAGCCTTAAACCCTCAACCCTAAACCCTCAACCCTCAACCCTAGACCTTAAAACCCTAAACCCTAAAACCCTAAACCCTAAACCCGCACCTGTGTTGTAGAAGTAGATGGGGAAGGTGCCGAAGCGATCGGAGAGCTGGTGTGGGCTCACCGTGGTGATGATGGCGGCCCCCACCCCCGTCTTGGAGAGGGTCGAGGAGATGTCCTCTCGGTTTAGGGTTTAGGGTGTAAGGTTTAGGGTTTAGGGTTTAGGGTTTAGGATTTAGGGTTTAGGGTTTAAGGTTCTGGGTTTAGGGTTTAAGGTTTAGGGTTTAGGGCTTTGGAGTTTTGGGTTAGGGTTTGGGGTCCCGAAGACCACCCCCCTAAGCCTTCTAGGCCCCTTCCCTTTGAATTGTTGACTTGGTGGGCCGGGCTCTCCTGAGAACCCCTAGGGCCCTAGCAGTTTCGGCTGAAACACTAACCCTGAAACTGCGTGGGGTGGGATAGCCCTGCACAATCGGGCAAAGCTGCCCTTCGCATGTTCCGAGGCTTTCGAAGCCACTCCGCGTCCCTGACCATCGGTGACGGAAGACGTTTTATTGGAAGTAAGCGATTGTGCTGAGTTTAGGCTTAAACCCTAAAAGGAATAGGTTAGGGTGGCTTTGCCGCCTTGGACGGCGTGGGGTGGGAGAATGGTGTTAGATGGCCTTCCACAATCGGGCCGGAGCTGCTCTTCGCACCTCGCACCTGACGAGGCTTGCGAGCCTTTGCTGCATCCTAACCTTCACAGCATCTACGCCCTTCCACAGCAAGCCCTAAACCCTAAACCCTAAACCCCAAACCCTAAACCCTAAACCCAAAGTCGAGTCTCCTCGATGTACACCTTTCGGCCAGACACGCCAATGCACCGCCCACTGCGGTCGACAAGAAACCCCACCTCGTTGCTTGCGAATTCGGGTTTCGGGTTTGGGGCTTAGGGTTTAGGCTGAGGGTTTAGGGTTTAGGGCTTAGGGCTGGGGGCTCGGAACTCGGAACCCTGAAACTCCTGGAATCCCGGCAGCAAAAAAACCCTACACACTGAGCCCTGATACCCACCCAGAACCCATGATTCTTCGTAACTTGCCACCCTAGACCTCGAAACCCGAAACCCGAACAACTTACCACCCCAAACCCCAAACCCTAAACCCCTAAACCCTAAACCCTAAACCCCAAACCCCTAAACCCTAAACCCCAGAACCCCCCATGCGTGCGCGCCTGGAACCAGAAGGCGGTCCAGCCCATCAAGTAGCAGATCACAATCGCCACGACCATGGCGAGGTTCTGGGCAGCCGTGACACCTTTGGGGTTTAGGGTTTAGGGTTTAGGGTTTAGGGTTTAGGGTTTAGGGTTTAGGGTTTAGGGTTTAGTGTTTAGGGTTTAGGTTTAGGGTTTAGGGTTGGCTCGCCCTTGGCTTGTTGTTGGTGAATAAGGAATGAGGGAATGAGGTACCCTATATTATCCCTTAAAGGGTATGTATAGGGGGTACCCTATATCATCCCTTTATTAAAGGGTATACCCTATATCATCCCCTTTATTAAAGGGTATATGTAGGGGGATATAGGGTGCAGTACCTCCTTCCCTCATTCCCTACTAACCAACCGCAAGCTGGCTCGCAACCGAAGCCCACAAACTGGGTCTTCGAAGTCGGGCCCAGGCCGAGGGTCCGGAAAAACCGTGGGGGAGAGGGGGCGGAGGGGGGGTTGGTACCATTATTTGTATTGCTATAATTATTGTTATCATTATTTTGATGATTAGAAGGAATATTATTATGATTGTTATTATGATCATTCTTATGCTTATTATTATGATTATTTTTATGATTATTCTGATTATATTATGTTTTTTGGTATTATGTTTAATTGTTATTGATATTGTTATTGTTATTGCTATTGTTATTGTTATTGTTTTTGTTATGGTGATTATGATTGTCACGATTACTATGATGACTATGATGACGGATTAGTTCGGGGGGGGGGGGGGACTCGCTGGTTTTGCACCCAGGCGCAGGCGCTTCTCCACAGCCCGGGCTCTTGCCAAAACAGGGCGCAGGACTGGCAGGGGCCGTTGTTCGGGCTGTACTGGCCAGCAGGACAGAGCACGAAGATATCCGTTATGTTGGTGAAGAAGTTGGTGCCGTCTGTGCACTCAATGGGTGGGGTTTGGTCGTACGCGGGCTCGCACCAGCAAAGGCTGTACTTGCCCGGGGGCAGACGGTCTTCAGCCAGGACACCAAAATTGTAAAACAGCTCGGCTCCAATTGTCTTCCTGGCGGTGGCCTCGTAGAACACCTGGCCGGCAGGGTCCGCACAATCTTTCTGGATTCGGACCTTGCTTGCGGAGGTCATCCACACACCTGAGGCTTGAAAGTCCATGTTGGTACCCAAGGCGACAATGCGCGGGTCTTGCTTTGTCGGCCCACGCCAACTCAGGAGTCCGGCCGAAACATTGAAGTCGGAGAGCGACTCGCAAGCCCCTGCGGTGTTGTTGTCGCACCAGCAAAGCTTATACACGCCGGGGCTCTGCTCGGCAAGCCACCTCCTGCCCTCGTCCGTGTCTTCACCACGCACATGCATCCGGGCCTTGTCCTGCTGCCAGGCGAAACGAAAGTTGTCGCGAAGCTCTGCAGGGGTGTCGATGGCATGTGCACAGGTAGCAACGGTCGTCACTTGCACTAGTGAAGTTCGCAAGTTTAGCCCGTAGCCATTCGTTTCAACAAAAGGGCAGGCGTGGCCCGAGATGCACTGATGCATCGCCGAGCCGCTAGGACCATTTACGATCGCTTCGCCCAACAATTCCCCCGCGGTACCAGACTTGAAGTTGTCCTGGGGTTTAGGGTCTGGGGTTTAGGGTTTAGGGTTTAGGGTTTAGGGTCTAGGGTCTAGGGTCTAGGGTTTAGGGGAAGTTGTCCTCGGTGCAGCGGCACAAGGTGTAAATGCCGGGGTTCATGAGTCCATGCGTCTCGTTCATAATCAAGTCCAGGCCTTCGGTCATGGACACGTAGGGGCAGGTACGGCGGCCTCCGCCGTGGATGCAGGTCAGCTCCGGATTTGGGTGTGGTGATTCGCAGCAATAGTCCATCCCATTTCCACACAGCCTTGCCGCACACATGGTCATGTTCACAGGGCACAGCAGGCGATCTCCGTGACCATCTGCCATACACTGCCACTGTGAACTGAAGTTTCCATCTTCGCACATTACCTTGGCTGAGGTTTAAGGACTTCAAAAGCTACTAGAAACGGGATATGAAGCACTGCATTAGGCTGTCTGAATGGCCCAGAAACTGTCCTGTCCTGTCCAGTGTCTTGCGACAGCCAGGGGCAGAGTCCATAGCTGCTGCGCCGGCAGACCGGGCAGCTGTCCCTGTCTTCATCAAGGACGAGGACCAAGTCATCTGAGGTCACGTTGCCCGCGTCCAGCCGGATGTTACAGGGCCGGTTTCTCACACACTCCCACTCCCGATCTGGATGTGGACTGCCGACGACGGACCCAAGACTCAAGGCCAAGAAAGCGGCCAGCATGGCAGGCTTTCCTACAACCACAAGCTCTGGTTACCAGCATGGGGCTATTGGGGCCTTATCATCCCCTGACCAGCCCTAGAAAAGGGCCTTTTTGAGTGGGGTTGCAGGGCATCGTAGCCCATGTAGGTTAGAGGCATTAGGGTCCTTAGAGTCTGCTTCCCTCTCTCTTGTGCGACTGCATTCAACCCTGAGCCCGGAACCCTAAAGGCACTATGTTAGGGGTCCATGTAGGGGTTTCAAGGGTTTAGGGGAGCAGCAGGATCACAAACATGCAACTTGTTGCCGAGATCGAGCCACTCTTCGAGATCAGATATTCTTATCAAGCCTAAACCCTAAACCCTAACCCCTAAACCCTAAACCCAAGAAGGATCGTTTAGGCGTTTAGGGCTTTGAGGGGCTTAGGGGTTCTCGGGCTTCGTAGAAACAAACCGTGAACCTTGAACTCTTAACCCAAACCAACAAAACTCGACGCCAATGCTCTTGGGATTTACGAAAGTCAGGGCACCCTAGTGTACACCCTAGTGTACACCCCGAAATAAGTAGGACTCCCTGACAATACGGACCCCTATAATTTCGGAAACGCGTTGACGGGCCTACGGCTGGTGGTGGCTTAGGGTTCAGGGTTTGGCTACCCATGAAACCCACCCTACACCCTGCACCCTAAACCCTAAACTCTAAACCCGAAACCCTAACCCTAATCCTAAACCAGGTTAGCGCTGGGCCCTTCGACTTCTTTCTCCCCGCTGCGATGTGCGGCTGCTGATCGCGTGCGCACTTGGTGTTCATGCTTTTAGCACTTGTGCGGCTGCTAAACCACAAGCCTCTGAGTTTGGGAGCAGAAGGCTTTACTTTACAGGTTCAATGAAGTTCAGGCATGCCCAAGAAAGGTCAAGGCCTCAGCCGCACAGGCTTCCTCAAACCCAACAGCCTGCCGTACACCCTCGAACCGAAACCAACAAGGCAACCTCACACCCCCCAGGCGCCTCAGGAGCTTAAGGTTGAGGCTAAGGGCTTCGGGTTTCAGGGACCGTCTCACCTCGCTCTTCTGCCGGCACATTGGGAAAGGTCTCATGGGGGTTCAGCACCTGTGTGCTGCACCTCAGAATGCTCCCAAGCTCGGAAAAGAGTGCCGCAGCCCTGTGGCTAACTTCGCCCAACCGGCGAGGCCGCCAAGCAAGACTCGGCAACTAAAGCAAGGCTTTGGGGGGTTTAGGGTTCAGGGTTTAGGATTTAGGGTTTCGGGTGCAGGGTTGTATCCGAATGCCTTTGCTGCGGATGCCTTTATGACGTGCTTCAGTGCCCAGGATTCGGGACGGGATCACGGAACCGACGACGGAATCGATCATGGACTGGACCACCGAAAGGATCACTTCTGCTGGTTCATCATGTCCGTGATCAAATCCTAAGCTTCTCCTCTCCCTTAACCCCAAACGCTAAATCCGATACCCTAAAACCCTAAACCCGAGGAAAGGATCTGTGAGTTCAGGTTTCACCCTAAACCCTAAACCGTCTGAAAAAAGTGAGTCGGAGGTCTCAAGCCCGAATCTCAAAAACGCCTACGGGTTTAGGATTTGATTTGGGTTACATCCCAAACTCCAAAAACCCTCTGACAGCCATGGTTCTCGTCCACACACCACGATCTCCCAGAAACCATAGCCCAGAATTCCATGGGCTGTGAGCACACCTGCCAGGACGGAAGGCTTAGGGTTTTAGGGTTTCTGGACTTTTGGGCGCGGGAAGGGGCGTTATTCCACGCCTCTCCCGCCTATCGCGGCTACGCAAGGTCCCCAGCTCAACAAGCTTTGAGACCCCCACACCCCAAAAGCGGTCATCATGTGTGTAGGACTTAGGTTTAGGGTTTAGGGGGACTGCATAATGAGAGCTAAATATACTTTAAGGTTTAGGGTTTAGGGCTTAGGGTTTAGGGTTTGGGGTTTGGGGTTTAGGGCTCTTCCCGCTATGCCCCCCTATTCGACAGGCTGAAGAACCAAAATTCAGGGAGCTCGCCTCCCATCAGTGCCCCGGCAAACCCATTCGTCGTGACATCCTTGCAGGGAGGGATGATTTCTGCCAACCCTAGAACCTAAATTCCTAGTTCCTAAACCCTAAACCCTAAACCCCAAACCCCAAACCCTAAACCCCACCCTGAACCCTGAACCTGACGCAACGCCAGGTTTTACCCTCGACGCCCCACCAGGCCCCATGCCTAAACCCCCTGAGCGCCGAAGCCCCAAACCCCATTCACGCAAATCCACAATGGATCTATTTAGGGCTTGGGGGTTCGGGCTTAGCCTTGAGGGGTTAGGGTTTTAGGTTTAGGGTAGGAAAATCTAGGAACCTAGACTTTAGGGCTTCGGGACCTTGGGGGCCTTCCTGAACCCCGGCACGCTCAAAACCTAAACCCTCGACCCTGAACCCTAGAGCCTGAACCCTAAACCCAAGACCTGAACCCCTCTGCAAGGCACTGGGTCCTGGCCCGTGAGCCACATCCCCTCCACGCCAGCCAGGCGACCGGGGTGCAGGCCCCCAGCAATCTCGGGTTGAGGGGTTGAGGGTTTAGGGTTTAGGGTTCTTAGGGTTTAAACTAACTTAGAATATTCCACAAACAGCTGACATTAAAACAATTGAACCTAAATGATTATTATACCAACTATTTACAGGTACATGTACTGGCATCATAGCCAAGGCTTCAGGTTTCGGGTTCAGGATTATCAGGTTGAGGGTTGCTTTCTGGCTCTGGGTTTAACTTGTAGGGGTTTCGGCTTTTGCTCATTTCTTGCTCTGCAAGTCTGCAAGGTTCACCCATAAAGTTCCCCCCAAAAAAAATGGTTGGTCTGGGAGGGCTCTTAAAGTCTCAAGGGGCTGAAGGAAAGGGCTGAGGTGCCTTTCGGTCTCTGAACGCTTTGGGCAAGACGCCGAAAAAAAACCCACCTGGAAACGCGAGAGCCCCTCAACCCCCTGGAGTCCCTAAAGTCCTTAACCCTAAACCCTAAACCCTAAACCCTAAACCCTAACCCTAAACCCTAACCCTAAACCCTAAACCCTAAACGTCCTGAACTTCCCCCCTTGAAGATCCTCAACCCATCCGCCAGGTCGCAGTGTAGCGGCTGGGGGGATGTTGGAGGCCGTAGCTCGCCGCGCGGCTGAGGTAGTGCACGTTGGAGAGCGGGCTTCCCATCTCCACGTACTCAATCTGAGGGTCTTGTTTGTAGGGTGCAGGGTGTAGGGTGTAGGGTGTAGGGTTTAGGGTTTAGGGCTTGGGTTTGGGGTTTGGGGTTTGGGGTTTGGGGTTTAGGGTTTAGGGTTTAGGGTTTAGGGTGTCGGCACAAGATCAAGCCCTCCATCCGAAACCCGAAGCCCTAAACCCCCCAGCTCCAAACTCAAAGCCCCCCCCAAAAAAAAACAATCTCCACCCAGTTCCTTTTAGGGCTTCGGAATTCGGGCTCAGGGGTCTTTATCGGTGGGAAGAGCTGAACCCTTTTTGGTGTGCCCAAGCTCCCTTAAAGTTTCTTGCCCTTAGGGAGCTGCTTCAAGTTGCATCACGTTCTCGCATCGACGTTGGCTCGCAACTTGGTTGGGGATGCAATTTTTTGGAGGCACTGCCTTGCCCTCCAGCTGCGGGAAGTGCTTCAGCAGGCCCTTGATCATGCCCTCCTCTGCCGGGGCACAGGAGGTCCAGGGCCCAGGGCTTCGAGCCCCCCGAAGCTCTCTAAAACCCTCAGTCCCCCCCTAAACCCTCAGTCCCCTAAACCCCAAACCCCAAACCCTAAACCCCAAACCCCAAACCCTAAACCCTAAACCCTAAAGTCTTGTTAGGAGCCTAAGCCAGCAGGGCTCGCACCCCCGTCAAAGAGTTCATATCGGGCACCCCTACTAAACCCCAAGCCCCTGCTGAGAACCGCTTGGCGATTCTGTGCCCCGCAACCCGACTCAGACTGGAGCGGAATCGCTGGCTGAAAGGCCCGAAGCCCTTCGGGACCTTTCTGGGGTTGCGGTAGGGCTTGCGACCACGGGTCCTGAAAGCGTCGCTTCACCTGCTCGTAGTCTTCACCTCGCTTGCCTTGCTTGGAGTCCTTCCACTTGCTGAACCACTCCTCCCGAGCCTGTGAAAGGGATTCGGTGTAGTGAGGATAATGCTGGGGGGTTGAGAGCTGAAAACACACGAACAGCTTAGGGCTGCGAAGCCGAGGGCCTAGGGTTTCAGGAAGGGCTCTCTTTCTGCCTTGCAGAACCTAGTCCTGTCCCTGTTAGGGCGAAAAACCTCCGAAGCACGCCTCCAGGTAAAGGGGATCATGGCAAACAAACTAGCTCCGTCGTGGTCATTCTCACCGTAATCAACACAACGATGGTAACGTTACAAGCATACGCACGACGGAAGCGCTGACAAATTCGAGAAGCGTTCGTAGGGATATTGCTGTACTCCTTGTTAATCACCACAAATGTGATCAAGAATACCGAACCGAGTGCCGAAAGAGCTAAGCGCTGAAGCTCCCGACCTCAAAACCAGGATTCCCCTAAACCTGAACCTTATAGAATGTACAGCTGTCAACCCCTAAAGCCACCCCTCACAACCTTAAACCCTTCACCTCTTAACCTGGCTTCTTAAGGTTGAGCTGGTTTACAGGAAGTTTCAGGGTTTCAGGCAAAGGTTACGTTAGGTGGTTTAGGGGGCTGAAGACAACTTGAGCCCGGAAACCCCCGCGTGATTTGGGAACGAAGACATTCCAGCCTCCGTGATGATGACGCAGGTACTTTTCCCCGGATGCCGTTCTGCCGCCTGCGGGTCCTCTGCTAGCTTTGCCCACCCGATGCTAGGGTTTCAGGGTTGTGGGGTTTTAGGGTTTTGGGGTTTCGGGGTTTTAGGGTTTTGGGGTTTCGGGGTTTGGGGGTTTAGGGTTTAGGAGTAGACTTTACAGTCACTCAGATTTTCCAGTCCGCTTGTGAGTTGACCCATCTGCAGCTTAGGGGCTGAGGTTCGGGGGTTCGGGTTTAGGGGTTTGGGGATTTGGGGTTTAGGGTTTGGGGTTTCGGATTTAGGGTTTAGGGTTTAGGGCCTAGGGTCTAGGGTTTAGGGTTTAGGGGGGCGATGTTGGATCCTTGGCGGAGGGGAAGCCCACGAAGAGCAAGAGCGAGCCAGAGTCCACCATGGGCCAGGGGTCGGCATAATACCTCAATGGGTTTAGGGTTTAGGGTTTAGGGTTTAGGGTTTAGGGTTTCGGGTTTAGAGTTTAGGGCTTTCCGGGGATATCTAGGGGTTGTCGGTCGTAGGGGTTCTGATGTCCCTTTTAAGGGGGTCCAGGGTGTAAGTCACAAGGTTCTTTTTAGGGTTTAGGGTTTGGGTTTCGGATTTAGGTTGACATGGGAGCTCAACTTCTTCCTCGCAATTCCTTGCGATCGGGGACTTGCGAGAACCTTGAGACGCCAGGGTTAAGGTTTTAGACCAAAATCAAGTCTACCTTAAGAGCACGAGACCTTTTTCGCAGAATTAAAACTGCGAAACCTGTAAGGGGTCTATGGTCACAATCTACAAAACGAGTTGGTTGGGGTTCAAAAGGGAAAAAACTTACACCCTGAACCTTAAACCCTGAATACCTCCACCCTAAACCCCGACCTCAGAACACCCAAAAACACAAATGTTCTTCCCTACTGTTATTGGGTCATACAATTATCTCGTATTCTTCGCGGGTAACCCTAAAACCTAAACCCTTAACCCTAAACCCTAAACCCACAGGCCCCCCCACCTGGCAAGATCCCCCTCGATGTCTGGGGAGGGCAGCGCCCAGAGGTTTGAGGAGCTGAGCGCCAACTCCTCCTGGAGTGTGGGGTTTTGGGGTTTCGGGGTTTCGGGGTTTCGGGGTTTAGGGTTTAGGGTTTAGGGTTTAGGGTTTAGGGTTTAGGGTTTAGGGTTTGAGGGTTTAGGGTTGAAGGAGTCCGCCGAACGAAGCGGCGTGTTGAATTGAATGGGTTTGCGGAGGTGAAACCTCCCCTTTTTCCCTCCTTACACCCCCAAAAACGCGCAACCCCACCCCACCCCACCCACCCCCCCCCCCCGCCCCACCGCCCAAACCAAACCCCAAACCTAGGGAGTTTTGGGAGTTGAGGAGTTTAGGGACTCGGGTCCCCCCCCTTTCTCCTCCTGGCTCTCAGCCTTGAACCCTAAACCCTAAACCCTAAACCCTGAACCTTAAACCCTCAACCCCCCCGGGTTAAGGCAAACAAGGCCACCTTGCTGCCCTGGAGGCCCAGGAAGGCATACATGTGGCTGATGCCGCCCTGCAGCTTCCTGGGCTGAAGGTTTAGGGTTTGGGGTGTAGGGTTTAGGGTTTGGGGTTTAGGGTTTAGGGCTTGGGGTTTTAGGGGTTTTTCAGGTTTAGGGTTTAGGGGCTGAGGGTCTTTGGGGGTTCGCTTCTCCAAATGCCCGAATCCACGCCTGAGCCCCAAGCCCAAAACCTCCAACACACGTCAGCCCCCAAAACCCTGAAGCCTAAACCTGAAACCCTAAACCCTAAGCTAAACCCTAAACCCTACAGCCCATAAAGGCAGGCACGCGGCGGAGGCAGGGCGAACTGCGGGAAGAACTTGGACGTCGCCTCGGCGCCAGCGGCTGACACGACGAGAGGCGCCTGTGTTCGGCCGAGCTGCAGCTTTTGGGGGAGGCATTTAGGGTTAGGGTTTAGGGTTTAGGGTTTAGGGTTGAGGGTTGAGGGTTGAGGGTTGAGGGTTGAGGGTTGAGGGTTGAGGGTTGAGGGTTTAGGGTTCAGGGTTTAGGGTTGGCATAGCGGTTCAGAGTTCAGAGCCAATTCTTAAAGGTTGGGTTTATGGTTTCAGACAGTGGCAACTCCCTTCTTTGAAGGCTCTTCGAGTTGGGGTTGCGAAGAGGGCGGCTCAAGGTTAGCTAGGGAGCAAACTCAGTCGGCGCCTCGGAATCCTGAAGCCTACAAGAAACCCAATGAAGACCGGAAACCCCTAAACGTTTTCCGGTTTGGGTGTTGAAGCCCTACGCCCCGAACCCTGAGCCAATCACTGCTCAGAGGAGGCGCAGAAATTTGGACACCGTTGCGGAGGGTCACGCCGGTAGCCTAGGACTGCAGCGACTTCTTTGAAGGTTTGGGTAAAGAGAGTTGTTCAGGATTGGTGAAGAACTTCGCGCACAAAGCACTGCCCCCTAAACCCTAAACCCTAAACCCTAAAACCCTAAACCCTAAACCCTAAACCTGATCCCAAGGGCGCGGTTCTGGGCCACGTCCACCCTCTGCACAGGCGCGTTGACCAAACAACGGCCCCCAGCCTTCTCGATCGTCCGGATCAGCCCACGACTGATCCTATACTCCCCTTAGAACCTTAATAAAGCATATTTTATATGCTCTTGGGTTTATATAGACAAAAACACAAAAAACAATTCCCAGGGGGATGTAGGATCTGCTGCGGGCCGCCCACGGGGTAGTAGCCCCCATCCAGGTAGTGGGCGACGATGCCTGCATGGATGAAGAAGGACGCGGCAGAGGGCTGCCTGAGCTTCCATCCCCATATGGCATCCCTGACCCCTTTGGGGGCCCCCTTTAAGGGGGCCCCAAGCATCAGTAGTGAAAGTTTGGGGAGTTTAGGTAGGGGAAGCTTTGAACCTTCCTTCCAAGCAGAGGCACATGCCGTAGTCGCCGAACTGGCCCAGGAGGGTCGACTTCAGCAGCTCGGAGGTGAAGAGCTCGTCGAGCACTTCCTTCGCCTTCCCGGGTTCGGGTTTAGGCTTTAAGGTAGGGGACAGTTTGGCCCAAGTGCCCCGAAACCCTCAAACTCCGAAGCCCTCAGCCACGCTGTGCAGGTCCAGCTGCCGTCCGGCCAGCAAGCTTCTTGAACTTCGATCCCAGGAAGAAGTCCTGCATAGGGGGCTTTGTGTTGGGAATGTGCTTGGATCCCCTACATCCCCCCTACCCCAGACAAGGGAACACGAAGAGGCAGCGGGGCTTGGGGTTCGGTGTCATGAGCTTCGGGTTGAGGGCCTCGGCTTTACCAGGCTTTCTGGAGTGCTTTCCGACAAATTGCCATTTCTAGCCCGGCCTCAGCCCGGCGAACTGGGAGATCGTAGTCCCACAAACCATCCTAAGTGCTAAGCCTTACACCTCCGAAACCCGCAGAGCACGCCCCAAACCCCGAAACCCTGAACCCAATGAGACCAAGCTCAACCCTACACTTGAAACCCTACTGACATAGGGAAACCCTATAAAGGGTTTTAGGGTTTAGGGCTTGAAACCCTAACTTGGGGGGTTTTGGGGTAAAAGGGTGCTGGTCCAGGAGCAGCTCCACTGGGCGCGGGAAGAGCTTGCCGAAAAAGTGCAGTTCAGCTCCCTGGGATCGGGATCGCTGGGCTTCTAGGCGTTGAGTTGCGGGTTAGGGCTTAGGGTTTAGGATTTAGGGTTTAGGGTTTGGGGCTGCCCCCCCGAAGCCCACACCCTGGGCCTTGTTGCACTTGACCACCATGTCCACGTACCTTTCGATGGCCTCCTTTTCTGCCGGGAAGCGCTCCTGCAAGTCCTCGAATTATGTTCATGTGCGACTTGGGGGGAGCTACGCTTTTCATGTTTAGGGTTTGAAGCACAGGGACCCCAGAGCCCGGAAAAGAACCCGAAACCTTCCTTAAACAAGCCCAAACCAAAACGCCCCGAAAGCCCTAAACTTTGCTTGAACCCGGGTATAAGGTGGGTTTAGGGCATAAGGTTTGAGGTTTGAAGTCTTCGGGCTTACTGTAAGAGTTTCCGAGGGCTTCTTAATGAGGGCTTAGGGGGGGCTTAGGGTTCTGACAGCTCCCTGCAGCCCCGACGTCCTGCACGAAGTTCTGCCGGCCCGCCCTCAAGGAGTGAGCTGGCTCCTCACAGATTCAGGGAGGAACTGTGCGTGCACTTGCGAAGCCCCTAAGATCAGCTGAGCCCTCAACCCGAAACCTGAGCCCTCCAGCCCAAAACCCTCAACCCTGAACCCTCAACCCTCAAGCCTCAACCCTACACCCTAAACCCTAAACCCTAAACCCTAAACCCTCAACCCTAAACCCTAAACCCTGAACCCTAAACCCTGAACCCTGAACCCTCAGCAGAAACAAAAGCACACCTGGCCCAGCTTTATCTGGTCGTACACGAAGCCATCAGATGGACTCCCCATCCTGAAACTCTGTCTCAAAGGGTTTTAGGACTCCGTCTCAAAGGGTTTTAGGTTTTGGGTTGGCTTGGGGTTTGGGCTTGGAGTTTAGGGTTTTGGGTTTAGAGCGAAGTGTATAGGGTTTAGATTCTTCGGTTTTAGGGCTTGGGGTTTGGCAATCAGAGTTTTGGGCCACAAACACGACACCCGAAACTACTTTGCAGGGTCCTTTCCGGGTCCTGAAACAAAATTTTGGTATACTCAGTCTCTCCGAATTGCCGGAATCCCCACTTCTGCAGCCTTCGGTTGTGGCCCGCTGAACCCTAAACCTTCCAGCCCCCCAAGGCTGGGGGGTCTAGGGCAGGTGTGGGCTTCGACTCACATTTGGTGCATTTTTTGGGGAAGTTGTAAGGTTGCTTAAGGTTTCCTGGGTTTGCTAAAGGCCGTTGAGGGTTGGCTAGGGTTGTTTTCGGGCTGCTTGGCATTGTTTAATGTGGCTTAGGGGGCTTAGTGAGGGCGGTTTAGGGTGGCTTGATGGGGTTTCGGAGGTTAAGGCCTTTTCACCAAGAAGGCTCTGGGCAAACTTCACTGGTTCATCGGACACCAGGTCCAGCAGCTTGCTGTACTTCTCCACACGGCCCACGTAGTGCACGCCTGAGCCAGAGTGTTTGGGGTTTGGGCCCCAAGTTTAGGGTCGCCTGCATTCCCACATGCTGGGTTCCTGCTGTTTTGCTTCTCGATTGCGTACTTCACAGCAAACCATGCCCAAAAGGCTTGACGAAGCACGTGCCTCCCAACCGCACTAGGAGCAGGCGCCTGTGTCAAAGGTCCAGCCCTTGTCCGTGAACTCGTGCGTGCAGCCGCCCGCCACGTAGTGCCTTGCAGGTTTGAAAAATGCCAGAATTGTTGGCTTTGCCCCAAAAGAAGGGACGTTACACGTGGAGTTGGGGAAAGAGTGGGAGAGCAGCACTGTCAGCTGTGGAGTTGCTGCTCCAAGACCACCACGACGCGGCCAGACTTTGCAAGCAGGGCCGCCAGGTAGAGTCCTCACCAGCTTCTGCGGAATCGCAACTGAGGGAAAACCACGAGGGGAACCAACTCCCTCTACAACTCACCACTCCGAACTCGCAGACATTACTTTGGGACCGGGGGCCTCCAATCCCCGAGCCCACCACCACGGCGTCGATGCTCTTCCTTTTTGTTGGTTAGTAGGGAAGGGGGGGAAATGAGGTACCCTATATAATCGATATAGGGCCCTGAGTCCCCAATTCCTTCTATCATCTATATAAGCCCTAAATCCCTAATTCCCTCTATAATCTATATATATATATACATCTTGCCCTTAAATCCCTAATTAGTTCCCTCTGCTAACCAACAATATAAGCTTCGGCAGCTTCTTGGTGGAGAAGCGGTCGCGAGTGCAGTCGTCGCCCTGCGTGGGCGCCACGGGCTGGTAGCTCCTGAAGTTCTTCGGTCCCCGCCGCCGCTTGATTCCTTGCAGAACTGCAACAAAAGCGCGGCGTTTGTGGGTCGAGGAATCACAAGTCAGAAGTTTACAAAGGTTCACAAACTGTTCAAGACTCCTGTCAAAGGGGCCAGATTAACGTGACGTGGTGACGGACAAGGGCCTACAACTGGTCCAACAAAGGACGAAGCTTCGTATCACCTTGATGGCCAGCAGCGCACTTGCTGTGAGAAATGTCGCCGCGGCAGCCCGCGCCACATTCTTGGAGTCAGCAAGCGTCATGCGTTACGCCAGTCAGGCCGGACAATGACACTTCCAGTTGCTATTCGACTGAAGGTCTGAAGGTTATGGCTATGGGCTGATGATTGTAATTGCATGCTGACATTTCCATCCTTAACGAAAATGGGATGGTCTATCAGGCTACCACTCAACCTTCTCTTCCTTCCCTACCGCATGCAAGCCGCAAACTCGGCGGAGAGCCTTCCCTCCCGTCTCCACTTCGCTCTCACATCGTCTCCGTCCATTCAAAAACGTTTGGGGTTGGAAGTGCACGCTCTTTGCCAAAAAGCTCACGAACTACAGCGTCAAGTCGTAGTAGTAGTAGTAGTAGTAGTAGTAGTAGTAGTAGTAGTAGTAGTAGTAGTAGTAGTAGTAGTAGTAGTAGTAGTAGTAGTAGTAGAAGTAGTAGTAGTAGTAGTCGTCGTCGTCGTCGTCGTCGTCGTCGCCGCCGCCGCCGCCGTCGCCGTCGTCGTCGTCGTATATGGTCGTCGTCGTATATGGTGGTCGTCGTTGTCGTAGCAGCAGTAGTAGCAGTAGCAGTAGCAGTAGCAGTAGCAGTAGCAGTAGCAGTAGCAGTAGCAAGGGTAGTAGTAGTAGTAGTAGTCGTAGTCGTAGTCGTAGTCGTAGTCGTAGTCGTAGTCGTAGTCGTAGTCGTAGTCGTAGTCGTAGTCGTAGTCGTAGTCGTAGTCGTAGTCGTAGTAGTAGTAGTAGTAGTAGTAGTAGTAGTAGTAGTAGTAGTAGTAGTAGTAGTAGTAGTAGTAGTAGTAGAAGTAGTAGTAGTTAGTAGTAGTAGTTAGTAGTAGTAGTTAGTAGTAGTAGTAGTAGTAGTAGTAGTAGTAGTAGTAGTAGTAGTAGTAGTAGTAGTAGTAAGTAGTAGGACGAGGCAGAGGAGGAGGAGTAGTAGAAATAGGAGTCGTCATCGCTATCGTTGCTACTCTAGCTGCTGTTGCTGCTGCAGCAGCAGCAGCAGCAGTTTCAAGTAGCCGTGGTGGACCAGGCACAGCATTAGTAATGAATCATCATGGCAGGTCACAGAAGCGGTTAGCACATTTGCGGAGTTTGGCTTGTGCAGGAACGGGGTGATTTTCCGGCACCTTCCAGCACGATGAGTCGTGCAAGGTAATATTGTCTGGACTGCTCCTTTGCAAATCCATGCAAGTTGCCTCAACGTGTCGAGTCGCAAAGTGGGCTTTCATGTACCCTGCAACCGGGGCAACTGACCACATCGCACGCCTCACTTCTGAAGGAGTGCAGGAACGACGCCTTTAAAAGGCGCACCGAAGCCTCAAAGCGGGGTAGGGGGGCCGGTTTTTGCGGGCGCGGACAGAGGGGGGCTGTCTCACCACAAAACTGGCGGTGGGGGGGGGGTTGGGGGGGGGTGGTGGGCTAAAACAAGCTGCCGAAACGCACGGCAACTGGAGGCAACGATGCGCCAGCTGTCCATGATGGTTAGAGAGGTCTCTAAGGTCGCTGACCTTGGGACAATCATGACCCATGCAAGGGCCACTGTACATGCATAATAAGATGCTCAGAAGCCTTTACAGTGCTATCCATGCCCAAAATCCGAACTTCATGAGAAGCTGGTTGGGACGTGAAGGGCAGCGGAATGCAGCTGCGAGCATGAATGCGTTGCGGTTGTCCGCTGTCAGCCTTTGCACAGGAGGGGTTACAAGCATGTACAAACCCTCCCGCGGAAACATAAATAACATGAGGGGAAAACTGCTAGCAAGCCTTACCGCCGGCCAACGACCTCATGTCTTTTACCAGACGACACCCCGCAGGCTGCGCTGTACAGCAACCACGAAGGAGCAAAACTTCACCTAGACAAGATCTTGAGAACTACGTGCAGGAGAACGAGCAGTCGAGATGTGCACACTTAATGACTGCTTCTGTTCTCTTCCTCAGCCACAGACACTGGTGTCCAAGCCGTAGTGCTGTCGTGCTGCTACTGCATCCCTTCGGTGTCGAGCTTCGTGCGAACGATGCAGCGTGGATCCGAACTGATGGCACTGATGAAGCACGTACATCATGGTTGAGGTGTACATCTGAGGCAGCAGCGGAAAGTACAGAGCATGATCCGCCGCCCTGGTCCTTTCGAAGAGGGTCATGCCTGTGATGTCCGTCGGATCGTCAGGAGAGACCGTTACCTTCAACTTCTCAACCAGCTCATCCATGCCCTTTCTGCTCAGCATGTAACCGTAAGCTCCAGCTGTATACCCGAACTTGTGGAAGCGAACAACTGGCCCCGGCTCCTTCCAGATCTTCTTCTCAGCCTCAAGGCGAGGCGACCCGAAGCCGAGCTGAATGCCCTTCCAGCCTTTCGGAGCCGCGGCCGCCAACTCCTGAAGGGACAACTTCCAGAGAGGATGCGTGTCGAAGCTGACATCATCTTCTAGGAACACAGCGAAGTCGGCGCCCATCTTCCTTGCGGTCAAAATCGCCTTCATGTGAGAGAGCGTACAAGCAAGAATTACTTGGTCCTTGCGCTCACTGTATTCAACACTCTGTCCAGTTTTGTTGAGGACGGTGACCACGGACACGTGGGACAAGTTTACAGCTTCGACCATGTAGCTGTCCGCCACGCCATGGAGAGACTTGTTCATGAACGCATGCCTTTCAACCGACTCCTTCATAGAAACCCAGAAGATCGGAACTCCCGATGTCAGATCACTGAGGGTCCTTCCATTCCGCAGCAGCTCGGCCTCTCCGAAGCCTACTTGGTCGATGGTTTGCATAAACTTCAACAGATCTGCCGCCGGACGTCGTAGCATTCGCGGAGAGGCCAATAGACACGCTGTGATGGCGGTGACGATTACAACGAGTGTGCACCTTGGCTTTCTCTTACGGATGTCGAAACACAAGGGGAATACGCTTATGGTCTAGCCTGGCGCTTTTTGGTGCTTATCAGAAGAAAGATGCCATCGCAAAAGCCTGGACACGCAATGAGGAGTTTTTGCCATGAACCTTGAGAGTTCGAGACACCTCGCGAGGCAAGCCTATCATCAAGAGCCTTAACTCCAACAACCCTCAACCCTCGAGTCAGAAGCCGTTGGAGTCCAACCCCCACTTGCACCTACATATGCCAAAATCTCAAGAAACTTTGGGCCCTACATCCCATACACGAAAAGTCCAAACAGTGTTGGGTGATCTTCGCCTCCCGCCATCGCTGCTTGTCTTGGAGCGATGTCTGTGCTTGACGAAGAAATGGCTTCATGGGCATGTATTCTCGGGGGGTCTAGGAGTTTGGGTTTAGGGTTTAGTGCCTGGGTCTTGGGTTCAGATCTTAAGGTTTAGGGCTTCGATGGGTTTAGGGCTGTGTGGCTGCTTCAAACAGGAAATCAAGCAAGAGTTCAAGGCGTTCAAAAGCACCAATGCGGCCCAAGCCGGTGTCCCTGGGCTGCGTGCACGCAAACCCTCCGTGGGCCACCCAGATTTGGAACGGAGCACACCACCAGCAGGGTCCATGTAGGCGCAAGGCCGCCTCCTACTCCCACGGAGCACACCGCCTTCCGGTCCCACGGAGCTGACTCTTTGACAAACGGTTGGCTTCAGAGCGCAAAACATCCCTAAACCCTAAACCTTCAACCCTAACCCGGCCCTAAACTTCACACCCTGAACCCCTAAACCTCAACCTTAAACCCTATTTTATCTGAGATGGATGTTAACGAGAGAGAAACTGATGTGCTTAGGACAATTTAGTTGTCCAGTAGCCTAGAAAACTAAAGATTAACCGTGGGGATGATACTGCCCCAAGAAGCTTAAAGGTCATCACTCTACGAAGAAACAGTACAAACGCCACTCGTACCTCTTCTGCGCAAGCAGACAAGCCTTAACCGAAGGACTCGGCGCGAAGACGAATGACAAATCTGTATCAACAGCAGGCCACTGAAAGGGGGCGCTAGAAAAAGATAGATAGATACCGACACACAGTACACAGCCACTCAGCTGTGACCACGCATGCATTTCCAAAAGGCGGCCAAAATGGATGCTTTGGTATTTGAAAGCAAAAGAGTGGATGTCACTAAACCACGACAAAACAACGAGGAAGCAGGGAGGGGAAGGGTGGTTGGCCGTCACTACCAGAGTCTTTGCTGAGCGGGGCGGAAGGTCTGCTCTTCTTGCCACAGTCCGTTTCTGATTTCTGCTTCACAATTTCTGAATCGCGGTTTCTGATGCCCGGCAGTTTCTGACTCACAGTTTCTGATTCGCGCTACTTCTAAGTCGAGTTTCCGACTCGGCGGTTTCATATTCGTAGTATTTCTGAGTCATGGTAGTTTCTGATTCGTAGTTTCTGATTCATGGTTTCGAATTCGCGGAATGGTTGTTGACTCGTGATGGGCACCCAGGACTGCACACACAGCAGCACGTAAGTGCGGACGGCTTCTGCGCCCGCGCATGCTCGAATCCCGCAGCGAGTTCCTGCCGAGCATCGCTGAGTTGCCCACCCCCCCCCTGACCATGCTGTGGCACCTACTCTGGTTTTACAGGGCCTGAAACGTTTAAAGTGAGCTGCAGCACCAAAAGCCGTGGCACTGTAGCCGTTCTTGAAATAATGAAGCGTCGTGCTCTCTCAGGACGTGTACCTGAGCGGCGGCAGATCAAAACGCACAGCAGTCGGGCGACACAAGCCGTCCAGACTCAGATAAGGCGCGGCAGTGAAGCACCTGGCACGGTTTGCACAAAAATGTTCGCAGCGTTCAAGTCCGTGGCACTTTGAGCAGATGGTCTCGAGCACAAGGCAGCGGATGCTCCGTCACGCGGAGAACACTCGTTTGGAATCCCAAACTGCCTTTGAATTCGGGCGGCGATTTTGAGTTTGCAGTTGCCGTGAAGAGTTTCAGGTCGTGACCTTCCACCCGGCGGAGGCAAGCTGGTTTCGAAGCCGCTCCACGCGCATTGAACCAACTTCATTGGTAAGGCACACGCACCAACATTTTTCAGATGGGCCACTGCTCAAATGCCAAACAAAACTCAGTGGAGGCCCAAAGCGCTTTGTCGGTGAACTTTGCTTCCACTGCCTCTGCAAGCTTTGCTGGATTGGTGAGCGCTGCCGTGCTGTCAAAGGCGATTACATGAATTCGGGTGTTGCCCTGGCCACAAAAAGCCCTCTCGGCAGCATCTCCTGCATTGGTAACACGAGAAGGAGCGGAAGTCCAGCTCGACAGGACAAAGAAACAAAGGCCGGGACCAGGCCGGGAAAGAAGGCCGGGAAAAAAAGCCAACAAAGACAGACTGTGGCGGAGGCAGCCACGCCGCCCAAGAACGCCACCACCCTCCAGAGAATGCGCTCGGAGCAAATCATGCTTTCTGCAGCAAGTAATGTTCTTCGAGGCGACCATTTTCTCATCAGCGACCCCCTTGGCCGATGGTCGACAGCGCAGGCTCGTCTCTGGAAGGGGTCTTTAGGGCCTGGGTTCTTCAATTTTTTTGCGAGTTTGGCGAACTTCTGCAAACCACCTTCTTGGTGTTTGGGTTGTGAAACCGTGCCCCTGTACTGGCACACCTACTGGTGGCCTGCTTGGCCCTATGGTACAAGAGGAAACCACCTCCTACTCCATCATCCTCTTTGGGATGCTACCAGAGGTTGAGAGGATCAAAACCTCCTGCAAAGGTTCTGGTGCACTGGGTGCAAACTGTTAGAGGAAATCAGCTAGGGGCTATTTCTCTGGTGGCGAGGATGAACCTCGACTCTACCATCCTCCCCAGGACGCCACCAGAGGGGAGAGGATCAAACCTCCTGGCAAAAACTTCCCTCAAGGCCTCTCCATTTGTTTTAATTCATGCAAAAGAAGGCTGGTGAGCAGTGGAATGCTGGCATGATGGAGGTTTATCCACCTCCTGACTTTGCTACTCAGGGTGGGGGAGTCCTGATCAAACCAGCGGAAGAAGGAGGCCAGCCGGGTAGGGCTGGAAAACCCATGCTATTCTCGGCATCCCCAGTTCGCCACATCCAAACTTGTCAGGCGATGGTATTTGGGCATTCCGAAATTCCCAAATACCCCCAGTTGTGCTCCCCTTGATCGGGGGGTGGAGGTAACCCTCCGGGAGTCGAAGTCCACACCAGAAGCATATCATAATGCACATCTGGAGGAATGAACCATCCGGGGTGGGCCGAACGGGTGGCTGCATCTTCTCCACTGCATAGGCCTTAAGGTCGGTAGGGGACCCGGTACTTCGACCTGGAGGATGAACCTCCTGCACACCTGGGGCCAACTGTCTAGGGTCAATGCGAAGAGCTCCCATTCATTGTGGTGTGCAGCAGGTTCGCCCACTTTCAGCACCCGTTTCCGCTCCTCGTCCAAGGTGTAAACCACATGGGAGCCGCCTCTGGCTAGGATGGTGAGCTTCCTAACCTTACCCTGGATCTCGTACGTGGCTCGGTCTGGCATCTGCTTATTGCCCCTGTTCGGAGGATAGGGCTACCCCCAACTTCACTGACAACTGGTCTGGCACCTGTATTCAGGTCAGCCGCGGCCTCTCGTTCAGGCTCTGCTGTCGGCGTTTCCTCCTCACTTTCTTGGGAGGTATCACGTGCAGAGGCCTAGCATTGTTCCCAGTCGGGGAGGCTTCCCACCAACTCAAGGACCACCCTCCGGACCAGTGCTCATCCCCCCATTGCTGCCAGCCTTCCCACTCGGTACATCCCCACCCAGGGTTGCTTTGGCGGCATGGGTGGGACCCGCTGGGCTGCTTCAGACACAACAGGTACTCGCTTTTATTCCCCTGCCAAGGCAAAGGGGTCATGAGCCAAAGCTAAAGGGGTCATGGGTTCTTGTGGGTTTCACAGAGAAAAGTAAACAAAAAAGTTCCCAAAATCATATAATGATGAGGAGAAGAAAAACACAAAATATCACAAGGTGCAAAAAAAACAATGAGAAGAACATGCACCAAACAAATATTAAAAAAAAAACGGAAAACTTCATGGCAGAACATGAGAAACATCTTTTGTTTAAATTTAAGGTTTGGTGTTTTGCAAACAAGCCATAAACCTTAAAAGCCGAACATGAATCCCAAACTCTATGTAAACAAAACCATGTCCTTCGGCTTGAGGCTTGAGCCCTAATCCCGAGAATTGCCCTAAGCAAACCCAACCCTAAACCATTGAAAGCCACACACCCAAAACCCTTAAACCCGAAGGACTGAACCCTAAAAACCCTAAGTTTTACCAAGTGGTGATTTTGGGTTTGGTGCATTAGGGTCATTAGGGCATTGGGTTTAGGACCAGGCCAGCTAGCTGGCAAGGGAGTTGGCCAGCTAGCTGGCAAGGGTTCGGGGCTCTCTGAAAAGGGCTCGACGCAGAGCTGGCGGACCGGCCGCCCTGGCCTCAGTGGGTGGTTCCCATGTACATGTTTTCTCGGGCTGCCAGCCAGCTGGAGGCTAGCCAGCTAGCAGCCACAAAAATCAGTCATTGCCTGAGGTTGCCTTGGGTTCCAGACCAGCACACCCTCCTTCGGCCATGGCCTTGGGGACAGGAATCAAGACTAAATACATAGGTTATTAGGTGCAATGGGCATTGTAGATCAAGGTCCAGAGTACACATTCACATCTCGGTGAAGATACAGAGGGACTGGAGACGGACATGTATCACACCTGCCAAGTACATACCCAGAAGAGGTTTGAAAAACGAAAGTGTGCCATATTTGATTCTTCGGCCTTTTGTTGTTTTAACAAAAACACAACCACAATTATAACCAACAGAAGCCGAAGAACCTATTTAGGGTATCAGGTTTAAATTTAGTGGTGCAGGGTGTAGGGTGTGACTGTAGGGTGT